TTTTTTTTTTTTTTGACTAAACAAATGTATCCCCCACAAATCCAGAAAGACCTCAGTGTTGGAGAGGACTAAGGTTATTTTTTTTTTCCTGTATTTTTTCCCCCAAAACATTGCCAGTCATGATTACCCCTGAGGCTGCTGAAAAGGGATTCCATCAAAGGGAACAGGAAACTATGCATTTCAAATACAGTGCCAAAATTTCCGAGGAGATAGATGAGGAGGGCACACACAGCTGCACTAAAAGCCTATTACTCTTCAGAAACAAACAATGGAGACTTTTAGATGCTCTATTTATTCCTCCATTTTCTCTAATGGCATATTCAGAGAGGTTTTTAGCTTATTTAAACACCGCTGTAGTGCGACATTTGCCATCTTATAGAATAATATTATAATAAAGTTAATCAGGGAAACAAGTTAGCGACAAATCAGATTTTTTTAAAAAGAGAATCCAAGACTGTTTTTGGTGAGGTTGGGAAAAAAAAAAAAAAGAAGAAAAGAAATAGGAGCGGATGTTGAAGATGGGTGAAGTAATGGCGGATGCAGTGGTGTGTGGATGAAAGGACAGTAATTACACCACAAAAGGGACCCCTGGCTGAGCCCAGCAAAACTGTGATAATTATGTCTGTCAATGCGGCTTCTTCCTCCTCATTAGCTTCAGGGGCAGTGGCCTACGAGTAAATAATCTGTCGCTTCTTTCTGGGAATTCGGGGTCAGGGAGGCAAAGGCACGTCGCGATCCGAGCTCACGGGTGACGTGCGCGCGGGGAGAAAGCTCCGATAATGGTAAACGCTTGACCACAAACGATGCAGGCGCGCCCAGATGCACGGCGTCGTTAACGGGAGGAACGGTTGGCGGGAACGCACGGCGACACAACATGTGGTCAAAGCCCGCTCGTCTTTGTCTCGTCTGGCCTTTAAACGGAGGCTGTGTGTGCGTTTCCCACCTGTTCCCCACGCCTTTGTTTTTTCAAACTATCTGGGATGAGCTCAAGCCGGCATTTAGCTTCCAAGCTTCTCTATCTTAAATAAACAAAGGATCAAGGCACTACAGCAAGGTGTTGAAAGTTGAGTCGCTTCTCCCGGAGCAGATATGTGTGTGAGCTATTTTAGTACAAGCTATTTTACTTCAAACCAAAGAGCACTTCTTTGCATCTTTTTGTTGTAGTCTATCTTCTTCCCACAATGGCAAGGGGAGGACAGCTGAAACGCAGGACTACTCTTTCATGTTTGCGCTTTAGTATTCATGCAGGGATGTCAGCACACAGCTACAGCATGTCTGTGTCCTTGAGATTGGCTAAACGGAGTGGAAGCGCTAGCATTCCGCATCACCCTTTCATTTCTGTGGGGGAGATTTTCTCTTTTTTTGAAAAAAAAAAAAAAAAGGAAAAAAACCGAACCCACGTGAAGAATTTCATCCAGGATTGATGAAGAGAAAAACTGAATAACACAGTTATGGCTAATTGAAGTATAGCACTAGGTAATGAACACAGTGTTTCCTTCATTTATGTGTCCTTTTGTGAAATTTCTTTAGAAGAAAGGCAGTCAAATTTTCAGATTTCAGACAGGCCTTGTGTTGGTGTACTGACAGAGCAATTTCTGTCACTCAGGCTTCACTTCTGCTTCCCAATGATCATTTTGTTACAAAAACCCAGAATTAATATTGACATCCTACCTGACATCTCAAAGATTACCCACTCAGTTCAGATAATATGACTATAAATCACAAATGAACTTAAGTACGTCCCAAAAACTAAAAAAATACAATAATTTTCAGAACCAAGGATGATGTTTAACACCAAGTGTCTCCTGAACATGAACCCTTTAAGAACCAACAATACTCTGCTTCTGTTAAGGCTGACTTGTAATTACATTACTGTCTGGAAGTGGATTAAAAAGAGTACAAAAAAAAACTATTTGTCACTTTTAATCCACCAAAATGAAAATTTACCCCAAACAGACATGAGATAAATAGCAAAAAAACGACTTCTATTGAAACATTTTTAACTAAAGTTGTACGTTTTGGTTTTTATCGGCCATTCAAAGCATTAAGAATTAATCCCTGTTGTTCAGGATATTAAAACATGAGGAGAGAAAAGTATTATGGTAATGTTAAAAGCCATGAAGAAAATGTGCCATAATTATTTTCCTTTTAAGGGTGAGTGTCAAGGTCCATGAGCGAGACGAATGAGTTTAAGAAATACACAAAGAAGTGAAATGAAAAACTAGATCTTTAACTTTTAAGGCCATGTAGAGTGTCCTTGACAAGTTGTTCCTTAGCATTAAAAAAAAACAAGTTTGTAAAAATGAAAAAGCCATTAAGTACGACCCTGTGACTTTGTGTTGTGGTTCTTCGCTTCCTCTTAACTCTCAGTTACGATTACGGGCAGTGCTACAAAAAAAAAAAAAACCTCCATTGGTGAAAAAGAAGAAATGAATCAATCACACCTTAATTATATAAAAAATACTACCACATTTTTCTCATGTAAGACTATATTCCATACATCTACCATTTAATATATTAAAAGAACCCCTGTACCTACAGCAGTACACCACCGTTTGTCATTATAATGCATCAATACGTTTCTTTCCCTTCATAATATGTCAACATTTTTCCACTGATGCATCTCGCACCAGAGGGAGTGCATAAAAATTCATTCAATAAAATGCGATCATTGATTTTGGGGGGCCAACCTCAGCCAACGCCTACTCAATCAAACCTCAATCACATCCCTCAAATCAGGTCCCCCATGTCATTACGTCCCACCTCAACCTTCAGCTCCCTCGTGTCAGCCGCCTCCAGGCTTTAAAGTCCCACCGCGGTATCATGTTTCATGCAGAAACACGTCAAAGCGTGAAGAAATTGAGTTCTCAGAGCCATTTCATGAGGTCTTTGAAGGAGTAGTATGTTGGTATAAAGACATTGTAGAAGATCCTGACAGCAATGAAATACAGCAGGAGTGAAAAATGGTGACACAGAATGGGCAGGTTGAGTTGTGAAGTGTTAATTTTGCATGTTAAAGAGTTGCGAGTTAGATTTTCCACTAGAAACCAGCACAAAAACATCATAAAGCCATGATATCTTTTAAAAAGAGACATCAACACCAACGCTAGAGGTGCCTGTTTGCTCCATATTCACAAGATAAAGTGAAAATACAGCAAAGTCCAAGGTCTCCTGCTGTCTGCGTATGCAAATATGACGTTTGAAGAGACTGATTTTCAACCGAGCGGCGCACATCCTCTAAATATGTGTTCAGCATCCAGTGTAGCGCCGTGTAGCATTCACCCACAAACAGTGTGTAGCTTCTTCCATGTCCCAGTTTACTCTAATCAGACCCACAAAAATAGTCCCATCCTGAATAAGACGGGGTTTTTGGAGGGGGAATGAGAGAGAGGAAGAAAATGGAAGTGTTTTCCTCAATAGCTGCTGATCCCTTTTCGTTCCTGCATCCAGATGGAGGCTTTGATGGAAGTCTTAACCAGACAATATGTTTTCATCCACCAGTCTCCACCCAAACACTGTGTCACACTCTGTTCCCTCTCTCCCAGATGGACCATGACCCTCGCAACCCTACTTACATCGCCTCGCAGGGCCCGCTTGCTTCCACCGTGGCAGACTTCTGGCAGGTAAAACTCATTCGCCGCCCATCTTTCATCTTTTAGCGTTTTGTTTCGACGGCGTTAAGAGCTTGGACGAACCGCCCGTCTGTCCCGATGGCTTCATTTGCTTCACCATGTGGCGTGTGTTTTTCATGTCCTGTTCTTAGTCCAGGAAAGGAGTGTATGGATTACTATGGTGGATGAAGCAGAAGTTAGAGGTGTCTGAACACACACACATATATTTTTGCATTTGGTGTGACTTGTACTAACCAAGGATCACATAAAAACATTTGAAAGTCATTAACCCCAGAACTTGCAGCAGAATCACATTTTCTTTAGTATCGAAATGATCCATTGATAGTTATTTGCTCAAACTTGAGTACACTGCAAACAGGAACTGCTAATAGCTAATTTAACATACATTTAATGGAGCTATTTTGCCCAAATGTAAATAAATAGAGGCCGTAAAACAGCTCAAATTGTAGCCCATAGTCACTACTACGACTCAGCTCACTTAATCCACGGCGACATTAACATCATGTTTACATCCTCTAAAGAATTATGGGGACTGCGATTCCAGCACAGCGTGATTATCCCTCAAATAGAGGCGAAACAAAGGAGGCTTGTATATTTTTAGGAAAATGCTTCGCTCTGTGACTCAAATGTAATGCTAATACACGAGTGGAACAAACTGGGAATAGAACTAATGGTGCTGCTGTTGTTCCTACTCATCAATAAAGCAGTGTCAGTAGCTAAATGTGCACAACAGACCTGCAGCTTTTCGTTTTAGACAGAATTCTAGCCATAAACACCCCCAGGAAGTCAAATGTTATTCATAATAATGCTGATATTTGCTCATATTTGCATTTTTTTCCTCAAAGCTATTTGCATTCGTTCCCTTGTCCATAAATGTCAGAGGAACCTGCCATCAATCACTGGATATAGGCTATTGTAAAACATGTCAACTTGTGTGGAAGTGTGCCTTAAATGATGCATGGATGCCAAATGGCATTCTTATGTGTTAATAGGACAGCACTGTAGTAATTAGTGGGCCCATCACCTCCATATGGTGAAGTAACTCCAGCTAGCCGTGACCAGGATATAGAAGTGTGAAGCATAAATCCTGGCAGACCAGCTGGCCCTGCACTCTGCACTCTGCATCTTGCGCTGAACGGATACTCATTTTGAATCATTACGATAGTGCTGACTTGGTGTTTGCACAGACGTTCGAGGCTGCTTGTGACTTCAGAAGGGCGATGCAGCCAAGTTTAGTCTGGTCTAGTTGTGTACACCAAAAGAATAGTTGTTGTAAATCAGTTTTTGCCTCAAAAAAACAAATCTGCTTGCATGTTTTGTCCTCATGTGGTGTTCAAATTAATTAAACCTCAGTCGCTGTTATCTGAAAATTGTACATTAATTGACACATAAACTCAAAAAGGGGAAAAAAAGGAGCACGGTTTGCTGTACCTAATTTGTAAATTTCAAAGTACCTCAAATGAAACAGTTGATAATTATCATTTTGGTTATTTGTTGGTTTGTTTGCCATTTTTTTATGCACCAGGTGAATAAATGCATATCCATTATCTAATGAAATGGGCTATTTAGACATGAACTCAGCTCTAAATCTTTCCCAATTAAGCAGAAAATAATAGAAAATTAGAAACAGATTGACTGACACACTGAACATCAGTTCTGTTTCTGGTAGCCATTCATTATTCAGTATGGTTAACCTTGGATTGTGGCAGGAGGAGGGAAAAAAAAACATACTCTTTTACCCCATTAAAAGTAAACAAACAGGGTAAACACTGGCACTCTCATGCAAATGGACCGTGCAGGAGGCAAATCTTTTTGCTCTGTCCTATCTAATCCACACCGGCCTCAGGCAGTGCTCTGAAAGGCGGCTCTGCTCTAATCCTCCACTCCTCATTCCTCCATCCCTTCATCCTTCACTCCTCCATCCATCTCCCCTCCCTCCCTCCCTCCCTGGCTATTACCTTAGCTCTGCTGGGCCCTCCTGCTTGCTTCTTCTTAAAATTCAGTGCAAAAAAAAAAAAAAAAGCCAGTTTGCATGAGTTCACAGAGCACAACTGGGGTCATTTCAGGGCTTTTCTTATTTTGGTTTGTTTTCATCTGTGCAAATTATAAGATGAAATTGTTAGTCACGTTCTAAAAATATGACATGGTTTTTACAAGCTGGAGATGGAACATAAGAATGCACTTTTACCTCATCACCTGCAAATATCTGCTAAATTGTACAAGACTAAATGGATAATATTCTCTCACATTATCACCTTGCCTAATCTCATCACATCCTGGCACAATTGGCACAGTTGGCGTGTAATGTGTCCACTGGGCTGGATCACAGAAGCTTGTGATTAGTGTATAGTCAAGGCCATTGTGTTTTTATAGCAATCATAAAACCCGCGTTTCCTCCTCATTTTCCTAATGGCTGCCGTGAGGCCTGTATTTTTTTTTCCCAAGGACACATTAGATTGTGATAAGATGAAATGGAGCAGCGGCAGCAGCGCAGTAGATGTTGTGATCTTCCTCAGACGACTGGGAGAGGGCGACACATGACGCGCCCTCCTGCTGCTCCACCCAACATTTATCATTTGTCACACACAGAGAGGTGACATTTATTCATACTTCCTGGATGAAGATTAAGAAATCAATTTCACCCTAATACAAGGCTGCCGTGTAATGCTAATGTGCAATATGCTGCACCTACTGGCACAGTTCAGCGACATATTAGTGCTGTTGGGATGTCACACGGACGCATACGGGAAGGTTTTCTTGTGCTGGACGGATACGTGACGTCTGCTTTCCGGTGTGTAGATGGTGTGGGAGAGCGGCTGCGTTGTCATCGTGATGCTGACGCCCCTGTCTGAAAACGGAGTGAAGCAGTGTCACCACTACTGGCCCGACGAGGGATCTGATGTCTACCACATATACGAGGTACGTCAGAAAGATGTACAACAGAAGTTACAAAGCCCGGAGGCTGTGAAATTTACATCTGGATTACAAAAAAAAAATACATATTTTCTTACTGCGGGTGGTGTCTAGTCATGCTAATAGGTTTGGATTTTATGTGCTGAGGTTTTCGAGAAATCTGTCTCCACAACAATACGAGGAAGATGAAGTGGGTGTCGTTTGTAGTGCTCACAGCGTTGCAAAATGACATTTAAAAAATTCAGCTGAAACATGTCTATCCAGAAGCAATGTCCATAATTTACAGACCTCACTGTGAGCAGCTTTCAGCGGAGCCACTTTCTGCAGAGTGAAACCGTCTCTGTAAAGCTGCTGAGTAACAAGGACGCTGTTTCTGTGAAAACATGTTGCTTTAGAGTTTTCTTTAAAATGTTTTTTTTCCTACCGAGTTCATTTCTTTCCAATTTTATTGGGATAGCGGCTGAGGACCATTATCTTCAAACTCTGTGGTATAAGTTGGTTTAAAAGGTTGCCCTGCTGAAAGGGTGACAAGGTTAAAATATAATACTGACATTGAGAATTGGGGGGAAAGAAAAAAAACTGGACGAAAAAGCTCTCCATATGAAATAAAAACTCAAATGAGAAACATCTGAGCACTGTGCTGATGCTATTCTCACTATAAGACTGCATCTTGCTCCATTGTGCTTGCATATAATAGTATTGTTGGCTTGATGCTGGAAGGTCAGAAACGTATGTATGTTCATCTCTTAGATGGCTTGTAACAAAATGAACACAGTCTTCTCACAGTCTTTGCTATCAAGCTAAGTTCCATCTTATTTTAATGCGAAATGAGTCTAGTTTAATACAGGAAAGCACACAAACTCTCAGCATGTATGTGATTTCTGTGACACTTCTTAAAACCTTTTCTACATTGAGTTCAATGAAAACTCTCGTCCTAAAAGATTGCATGTGCTGTCAACTGATATTTGCTCAAAAGAGAATGTCCTTCTTCCGCCTGTTGCTCTCTCGAATCTTAAAATATACTATCTGCATGGCAAGAAACCACTTTAGAGGAATATGTTTTTGTAGTTTGGGTCAACCAGCCCTTTATTTCACAAACTCTACTTCATCTTTTACACGTTTTTCTTTCTGTTTAGGTCAATCTTGTGTCTGAGCACATCTGGTGTGAGGACTTCCTGGTGCGGAGCTTCTACCTGAAGAACCTGCAGACCAACGAGACCCGCACCGTCACCCAGTTCCACTTCCTGTCCTGGATGGACCGCGGGATCCCCAACTCGGCCAGGACCCTGCTAGACTTCCGCAGGTAGAGAGGAGCTCCTGCCGGTCGCCCCTCAGAAACACTGCGGCAGATTTTCAGACAGATTTCCACCTTTACATCTGGCCTTTATCCTGAGCTTGTTCTTAATCACCTTCCCTTATATTCTGTATTCTGTCAGCGCCTCTCCGGTCCGTCTCCCTTTTGCCCCCTCTGCCTTTTGGTGTCCTAGAGAATGGTTGTTCTAATAAGGACTGTGTTTCTGTGCTATCCCTTTCATCCTGGGCCTATTTCCCTCACCTCCCTCCAGCACATGTGATGCAGCAAATTAACAGCCCCGCACTGCCTGGCTTGGCTTGGGAAGAAAAGAAAGAAAAAAATAAAAAAGAACCCACCTAATTCAAACACCCAATTAAATGAGAGCTGTCTCACTAAAAACATGTGAGAGGGGGAAAGCTAGTGACTGAATAACCTCACTCTGTTCTTCATATAATGTGTTCTGGCAGAAGAGCAGCAATAGCTCCTCTGGGAAAACCCAGGAGGGATAGGAAAAGCCCTCCAAATGAGAATAGATGCATCTGATTTGTGGATGGAAGTGTGTCCCTCTGGTTTATCATGCAGATGAGAGAAGAAGAAGAAAAAAAAAAAGAGCGAATGTGTAGTGTTATCATGTCCTCCCTTTCTGACAGAGTTGGTGCTCCTCTTTTCAAATTAAGCTGGATGTAGCTTGCAGTCAGTTCTATTTATTTGTCATACTGGTGTGTAGCCGTGCTTTGATTACATATATTCTGTTTACCCTGCTGTTGAGATCTCCGCTAGCTGCCATGATTTACCTCCATTAATGCTGCTGTAGGTTATTGGGAATCTAAAGCTCTCTGATTAAGGGATTCAGAGGTCGCAGATCCGCACAATCTACTGTACACTCACGGTTTCACGGTTTCGGCCAACTCGGTATTTTGCGGTTGCCAGTGTCATTTTTGTGATGTTGCAGCTAGTAATATGAGCCCAGTTGCATAGTCACAAAAGTGATCATTGGAAACTGTGTCTCCTCAGCCAGGCCTGTGCACAAACTGTCTTTCTCTCACTCCTGACTCTCTGTCTCCCTCCTCCTCCTCCTCTTCCTCCTCCTCCTCGTCCTCCTCCTCCTCTCACTGCTCCTTCCTCTGGCTTGCATGGGAACTCCAACCATCTCTGTATGCTGTCTGACTAAGGACACGTTCTGAATTTACTCATATTTTTGACTATCTCAGATTTTGAAAAATATGCATTCAGTACAATGAAATTTGATGTAAAAATGAACAGAAAATACATTACAATTTTAAAAAGAGGAGCATCTTCATCACAGAATAAGTACTGGATTACTTAAAATGTTACAAGACAACAACAACTCCTTCCTCTGGCCTGCATGGGAACTCCAACCATCTCTGTTTAGTGTCCGACTAAGGGCATGGTCTGATATTACTCACATTTTTGACATCTAACAACTTCGAAATTGGAAAAATATACATTTAGTGTAATTAAATGTGATGCAAGCACAGAAAAATGAATACATTATTCCTTAAAATCATAAAAAAGACAACATTCTTACTCTAGAATAATTACTGGACTGCTTAAAATATTACAAGATAACAGCTCCTTCCTCTGGCTTTCAAATGAACTTGAATCATCCCAGTCAGACAGTCTGCTGTCTGACTAAGGACATGTTCTGAATTTAACAAAATGAATGCCGAATGCCAGGAAAATATAAAAAAAATAAAACACTCTTCCTTCAGAATAATCTTTGCATGGCTTGAAATCCAACAAGATTTATCACGTTTAATGTTGACTGCATGCATTTTAATGATCTTTCTTACACTAAGACCTTGATCATGACAAAAAGAAATGGCAAAGCTCTTAATGGCTTCAAACCGAGGACACCTGTGCTTTGAGATTCCAGTACACGTGGATAATGCTGTTAACAATTGTAGTAATTAAGGTGAAAATACATAGAAAACATCACAAATGCAACATACAAATGAGAGAACTAAGAAAACATTGCCCAAGCTGGCAAGATTTAATATGAAGTATTTATATAAATATGTATTATTATTAATACTGTTGGCAAATGTACAGCTTTGTTTGTGTATTTCTAATAATTATAAACATTAGTGAACATAAGACTAGACAAACTACAGATATGATGAGATATTTATTTTTTCATTTTGTCATTGAAAGGTGAAAAACGAGGGGAGATGGAGAGACGCGGAAGCTCTCAGTGTAGTCAGTTTCCATGGCAACAGCGGGGTGTGAAAAGGCTTGTTGGCCTTCACCGTGCCTGTGGTGTATAACATTCATAATTGGCTGGGGTTAATGCGTCGGCGGTCGGCAATCACAACATCACACCACCACATCCATCACCCACATGTCACAATAATGCTGTTCGAAATGATGCTCAATTTATTTACGTGGTGCGACACGGATTTCTCTCTCTGTGCTCAAATTAAAGTGATTGATTGACAGCAGGCAGCATCTCTCAGAATTGTGTTTGCTCCTTTGATTATTGCCGCCATTAATTTCATCCAGAAGCACGGTGCAGAAGTCCCTCATGAGTCACATTTGTTTTAATTATCGCCGTTATTATTCAGCATAAAGGAATCGCTCCTGTTTCCAGAATATAACATTCAGCAGCCTGTGCATTCGACTTTAATCCAAGCTTGCAATGACATTAAGTTTTCTCTTTTTTTTTTTTTTTTATTTCAGAAAGGTTAACAAGTGCTACCGGGGTCGATCTTGCCCGATAATTGTTCACTGCAGGCAAGTATAACTATTTGCACCTTGTGACAGTGGCTGACCCTGCTGAATTGGGATAGAGAGTGTTTGTCGTGGCTTATGTGTTGGAGGGGAGAGGCTGTTTATTTAAACCCGCTCAATCCATTTACTCTATCTGGGTCCACTGGAGCTGCTGTTTATTCCACTGACTGTGTTCTTATGTAAATAGCGTGGCACAGAGATGCCCAGCCAAAGACACTTCCATTTCCCATTTGGTGGAGTTAGTTAACTGGCCTTGATTGGTTTGTATTAAACACCAGGTATCTGACTGACCACTTTTAATAGTCACATCCTGTTAAGTCATGCATGGGGCCAGTAAGCCCGCTTTCCCTCTGAGGGAGCTGCATGGACTGAGTGCCTAGCAGTGGATTAATGAAGCTGTGGTGCTCAGGCCGCTCTCCTGTTTTATTGGCCTTGCCTTTATTAGAGAGATGTCCACGCCTTGTTTGCAATTAACATGCAGAGCCGTTGAATGGCCGGCGGGCACAAAGGGAGGCTTTTCATAGGGCTATCTCTGGAGTAATGGAAAAGCAAGGCTCTCCAAAAGCTGTTCTCGAACCGCCCCTGGCCTCTCAACCTCTCCTCTGCTCCTGAGGTGCATGCATTTAAAAGCCTTTGTCCCCAGTGTGCCTTAGAAACCATTCCCCTCTCTCCAATAGCCGAGCAAGTCTCCAGACCACACATGCACTCGTGTGCAAAGGTTTAACATAATCACACTTATTGGAACATCAAATATTCAGATCTGCTGAGGTATTTTCATTAGAATGTTAAAATTTTTCTTATTGATTTGTGCTTCTTAAGTATTCCGTCTGTAATATCATGTTGTACGCAAATGGAGGCGTGTGCATCTGTATGCAAAGACTAATTTGTGTTTAAATATACTCGACAGTCTCTCAGCAGATGCAGATGTAAATGAGCAATTTGTTTCCTTATAAGAAAAACACTCTGAGATTAAAGCATCTCACTCTGCCACCTTAATGATCTCTCTCTCTCTGACTCTCTGCAGTGATGGAGCTGGCAGGAGTGGGACTTACATTCTGATTGACATGGTCCTCAATAGGATGGCTAAAGGTAACGATCAATGGCTTCCCTTTCACTCTTTCTGCTTGCGTTCAAGTGTTGCCCTGGCAACGCTAAAGCCTCTCATTTTCCACAGAGGGTCTTGGGGATGCATTAGAGGGTGACTTCTCTGAGGCCTGGAAAGGCAGCGAAGACAGAGGCAGACATGGAGGGGAGCCGCTAGGAGTGGAGAGAGCAGAACAAAGAGAGAACAGAGAGAGGGGAAATTTAAAAAAAAAAAAAAAAGAACCCTCTACCCACATTAGTAATTATCTATTTAAGTTACCTTCACACCGTATTGACCTGCAACATGAATTTAGATAGCACATGCATGGAAATGAAATGTTTAAAGGGAAAATACATTTGAAAAAAAAAAAAATCAAAATTTTCTATTTGCTTCAGTGATTTGAATCAATATTTAATATTTAATGGGAACATTGTGGTTATTTGATTTGATTTATTCTTAACAGTCCATAGTTTGCAACTCCAATTTCACCCTGAAAATTGCTGACATTTTTTTTTTTTTTTTGCACTAATATGAACTAAATTGTGAATATCTCCAGTATGTCAGAAATCCACGGTGCATTTACACTTCTGCAATTTGGAGTCGTGCTGGTTGGTCACAAATCACAGCAACTTGGCGCCATTATGGAAGCTAAAATACAAATCAAAGTAAATATAAAACCACAGGAAAATGATCTCCGTGGCCTCGGTTGTATCATTACGGAGCTTGGAGATAGATTTGTTTCTAAATCTTAGGCTGCTGTGACAAAGAAAACTTTGTGTTTTTCTCTGAATCCCAACAAAGCAGGAGTTGACTTGAGAAAAATCCCGTCAGTCTGCATGAATAAACAAACTGATCAGTTCAATTTGCCCTCTCAATTCTTTTGAGATATCCAACTTATGAACACCCATTGTGGCGCCGGAGCTGGGTTCCTCCAAAGGCCGCATTACATCACCTTAAAGCCCTCCATAGCTTATCCTGCCCTCTGCCCTCTGACCCCTGACCCCCCCTGACCTTTAGCCCCAGCTCCCAGCATGCCCTCCTCCTGAGATCCAGCCTCATCAGAGCGGGTTAGCCGGGCCTCTGCTGCTTTCGTTGTCTGTAAAACAGTAATAAGACTGACCCGGCCTGATGGAGTTCATGTAGATCAGTGACGCTGTTGTCCACGGTGATGAAAGGCTCCATTTGGTTTCTTTATAACCTTCTGTTTCCTGCTCTAAAACCAAATGTATAAAATGTACATAATCTCACTCTCCGAAGCTTTTTTCTTCGGTCAGAGAGCCTCTCTTCAGCTTAACTTTGGAATCCAGCCCGTCTAAGACATGAAAGTCTTGTCGGAGCACTGGAGTACTTTGAGCACTAAGTCCGGCTGCATTAAATCCCGCTTTCTCTCTCTCTCTCTCTCTCTCTCTCTCTCTCTCACCCACACACATACGTACATTCACACTCTATCTCCTTTGCTTCCTTTCTTCGCCTCACTTTGAAAAACATCTTGAGAGTTCAGGGGCTCTTTCTCTTTCTCGCTCTCTCCTTGGGTTTCCTCTCCACATCGCTCCCTGTCGGTTTTTCTCAAATGAGCTCCGGCGTGCTGCTTGCAATCCATAAATCTGAAAGCAGAAGAAGATTTCCAGATTAACATCACAGACTCAACAGCAGCTGATCACTGTTGAAGGCGAGCAACTGTTGCATAGGTTAATCATCAGAATGACTGCTGCAGAGCGGCTATAAATCATTTTAATTAGCGTTTGTTGATGCTCAGATACATGCGCGCTCCCTCAGATGTATCAAAATGCTCTGAGTGGACTTTCTAGTTAGACATAATCTAAAGCTATTTTTTTTTTTTTGGACGAGATTCTCACAGAAGAGCCAGAGTGGAGTGTTTTTTTTTATTATTATTTTGTTTTTAACGCATTACTACACATTTCCCATACCCCCCCCCAAAAAAAAAATATCCTTTTGCATATTTTATCGAGAAACAGTCTGTGGCTCTTGTCCAAGTCTTTCGAGGGATGAATGTAATAATTTTCAATCGCTGCGCTGTTCCAAAGGGAGCCCAGCATAAAGAGAGATTGACAGATGTGAGCTGGATTACTCCGCTGCTTTGAACTCAGTCCAATTTTCGGTCTGTTGCAGGTGCTAAAGAGATTGATATTGCCGCTACCCTGGAGCACTTGAGAGACCAGAGAGCTGGCATGGTCCAGACAAAGGTAAGGTCCCCGGCTTTGAGTTAGAGAGGTGGGGGAGAAGGGAAGAGAATGGGGGAGCAGAGAGGGAGGAGGGGAGAAACGGGGAGGTGGGGGGGGAGGAGGTTGCAGTCATTCAAACAGACGATTGTCTACTTTATGTGCACAGGATCAGGGGAAATGATGGTGTAATTGATAACTGCTTCAGGATTAGAAAAACATTGTCTCGCAAGATAATAACTCAGTGTTCCACATTTATCACAAGACACCGAAAGAGAATGACCATGATCTCTCGCTGAATTATTTCGTGTTTGGGAACGGCAGCATTATAGGATTTTATGTTCATTTCTATACATAAAAGACTGCAATTAATGATTATTTTTCATCACTGGTTGGCAGATCTTTCCGCAAATAACCGATTAAGTCGATGAAACGTCAGAGCCTGAAGCCCAAATGTCCAAAACCAAAAGAGATTCAATTTGCAATGAAATCAAACAAAGAGAAGCACTTTATTTCAAATTTAAGAGGCTGGAATAGGCTCGTGTTTATTGCATTTTTGCTTCAGTAAATGACGATTAACCAGTCGTCAAAAATGCTGTATAAGATAATCTTTTCTCATAATGTAGCCATCACACTTGTGTCTGATCAAGGCTACTACCTGCATTCTTAAGTCTCAGCAGGGCCTCCATCTCACACCATTTCGGAGAATACTTTAAGGCATTTCCTCTTATCCGCTAATGCAAATAACAGGTAGGAAGTCTCTTTTGTTTCTCTCTTGTAATTGGGAGGAATACTAATAATAATAATAATAAAGGCAAACCTCATGCAGCGGTGGGTGATAATATTTATGGAAGCTAACAGACTCCAGTGTTCCTCGATGGTTCATTAATGCTACTTTTACAGCCCTGCTCTGCTCAACCTAAAAGAGCTTTTCAAGCACTCTCTCGTTTTCTTGTCTAAGTGAAATTATATTGGAATATTGTTGATTCCACTTTGCTGGGCTCCATGCTGGGCCTGCACAGAAATTAGACTGTAATGAGGTATGAAATTTAGAGTTAAGTTTCAAGGATTGGACAACCAGTTATCTTTTCTACCCTTCATGATGTCGCCACTTTATTCTAGGATAAAGGAAAAAAAAGGACAATAATTTCCACCCCTTTTTCTGCTTACTGCTTTTGACAGACATCAACGTGCAGTAATTACAACATGTGTGACCGTTTTTCTTCCTTCCTAACGCTCATCTCCGATCCGTCGAGCAGAGATTGATCTCCCCCCAGTGGCGTGAACGTGAACAGCGCTTCATGCACAAAACCCCTCATTTTTAAAAGTATCTTTTTCCCACTACGCACAACTTTAAACTCAACTTGGGATTAGATATAGGCGCACATAACTGCGGTGGAGATAAAGACGGATGTACTTACATATTTTCTGGCCCCGTCTTAACTTCAGTAGATGCGTAAAAATAGAAAAACATCAACACTCCAGATAATCTCCACTGCAAAGCGAGAAGCACGGCCACCAGTGACTCCTCTGTATTGATTGAGCCTATCCTCGGGCCAGACTATGGCAGGCTGTGTGTTGACACATCTAAAGACTGTTCCCTCCAAACTCCTACGTACCTTTTCTCTGTGAGAGGACCCTGTGGCCTGCAGCCTGGGGAGAGGAGAGGAATATAAAAACACCAGGGTCCATGGGGCAAACATCAATCAGCCCCTTTTGGGCTCCTCCGGGAAAACTATGAATCGGTTTCACAAATAAATACACACACACACACACACACGTACAGAGAAAAACCTGAGAGACAGCTTGACTCAAAAGCTCCATTTTAAGACACACCTGGCTGGATCGATGGCCGTGCCGGCTACGCGTGCACTTCAAGCTGAAGGCTCACAGAGTGGTTCACCTTCACCTCGAGCCTGTGGCCGAGCTCATCCCAGGCAGGGTCAGGAGATATGGAGGGAGAGGCGGAGGCGGCACCTGTCAATCATGCTGAAAACCTGAGTTGTTACACACTTGGACACACACTAAAACTTTTTATCCTTCCTTTTCTCTTCCCTGCATCCTTCCCTCCTCCTCTTCTTCCTCCTCCTCCTCCTCCTCCTCAGGAGCAGTTTGAGTTTGCGCTGACAGCCGTGGCAGAGGAGGTGAACGCCATCCTGAAAGCGCTTCCTCAGTGAAGGCATCACACTCCCCTCCTCCCCACCTTCTTCTCGCTCGCTGAACACCGGTTTCTTCTGCCCACTCAAGACTGACATCTCTCTCTGCCCTTCCCTCTCTCCTCGCTCTGTTTCTCTCTCTCTCTTCTGTCTCTGCCTCCTCTTCACCTCTATATATACTGTATACTTATGAATGTCGTGCCGGATATCTCACCTGTATCCATATTCGCAAATTTCGCCTCAGAGTACGACTGTTGATCTGTGTTGTTTCGGCGTGCGGGGTTCTGACGTGACGTGGGAAGTCAGGATCTGCACTCCTACTGTGAGACGTTTTGTCGATATGAACCCCCCCGATCCTCTATAACTGTGATGTTGTTCCTGAACATACCGTTCTAGTGCCACTGACGAGATGTTTACGTGATGTCAAGTGAAGATTTTTGTTCCAAAATGAGCTATCTACTGTCAAAAAGCTGACACAAAATGCTTAGAAAATGACTATTGGCACATTTAAACCAAACTGTAGTCGGGCTGCAACTAACACTTCCTCGATTAATCGTTTAGTCTTTTGAGTGGTGAAAAATAGTTTTTAAAAAAATGGTAATTGCATTTTCTCAGAGGCCACGTTAATTTGCCTATTTTGTATGACTAACAGCGTAAAATGTGGAGATATTGAAATTGTCACATCTGAGAAGCCGGAATCAGAGAACGTTTGGCATTTTTGCTTCAAAAAAATTTGCCATTTTATTTTTTGCCATTCGCCTAATCGATCAATCGACCGACCATTGCGGCTCTCAGCTGTAGTACTTTTAGAATAACAACGTGTAAAGTAAATGACGTCCTTGCCTGTATAAACAACGATACTGTACAGATTATAATCCTCTAAATGACTCGATGTGCTGGATACATGTAGCGTTTTTTGGAAGTAAACTCCTCACATGTTTCTCCTCCTCTGTGATCTGACTAATGTGCTCAGCATCACGTGTGCAGATGTTGAAGTGTGTGTGTTACTGCTGTACTTTGGGTCCAGACATCTCGTATTGAACCACGGACTCTGAAAAAGCCTCACGAATCATGCAACATATCAGCTGTTTTTTTCTTTTTGTTTTGTTTTTTTTATTCCTCAGTGCATTGATTTGACATATTTTGTTTGTTACATAAACATCTGTTAATATTAAATGTGAAATATACCATCTGAGATATTGCTTCTATTTAGAAATGCTGTCATCCTGTATCATTAGTAATAATATGATATATTTAAGAAGATATTCTACTGGGATTGTTGGGAAATTACGATCCATCACTGGTATATTGTGACATTTTGTGCAACATGACAGATTATTCCCTCTATGTATAGATGATGAATGACTTTATGAATCCTTATATAGTGCTATCTGAAATGTATACTGAGAGCCTCAATGAGAACTATATATTTTGTGTGAGAAGTAACATTCAGGTTGATAATAAATCAGAACAGACTATACTGCTCTGCTGACTGCTGTGTAATGTTATTTCTGACTCACACACACACTCACACACACACACAAACATGGCCGTCCTTCCAGGGAAAGTCATTTGATTGAATGGTAGCTTTAGTAAAGTCACAAAGAAAAGGCTGTATCGTGCTCCCTGAGGGTTTGTATCTGGGAAAGACTCGCAGGTTTGTACAGATGAAATGTTTGGTTCACCAGCTCTGTCAGCGGAGAGAGTGGCTGGGATTTAAAATGAAATCAGTCATGTATTTCGCCCGCCGAGGTCTTCTTGCAATATTACAGGGAGGAGAGAGTTCAGTCAGTCAGAGTACAGTTCAATCAGTGTTTACTGAAGGATGTGTCTCTCAACTTGCTGGAATTATTTCAGTATTGACATCTGTTGCTTAGTTTTATCTGCGATTTCTTAATTCTGCTGCTTTTTTGCGGCAGATCTCACTTTTAAAAGAGGCTTCCAAGTTTCAGTTTTTAATGAGTCTTTCCTGGTTAATTAAAGATTATTCAAAAATTCTGCCTGTTACTTTACTCAAGCATAAATGTGCATTTTCATTTATGATTCTGTGTGCTTTCCTGATTCCTAAAAGATTCTTATGTGAACAAAAACTGCAGAAAGTTCGTGTCTTTAAGGGAGTCTTTCAAGGATCTTTAACAACAACAAAAAAGACAAATCAAAGGATACATATTTGATTTAAAAATATATATATTAAAAAATTAGCAGCACAAGGTCTAACTGCTTCTTCAGCTGTAAACTAAGTTGTTTGTTGTTATATAACTATACATGCTATAACATTTGGATAAATGGTAACATTACTTTTGTTTTTATCTTAACATTTGACTGAATTAACATGATGTCTTGCAGTGAAACAGCTGTTTAGTCAACTCCAGACATGAAAAGTCTGATAGAAGACATTTGGATGATGACAAATTTAAAGTTAAATAACATTAAAATGAAAATAAAGTTTCTAATAAGCCACACTTAATATGATTTATGTGATGATTTTATCAATATTTTAGGAATCAGGTGCTAATGTTTTATAGATCAGCTATAAACCATTCAGATGTTTGGGTTGCCATATTGTGAAGAATGCTGTTGGCTGATTAACCTGTTCCAGCTTTTAACAATTTGCGTTTGCAAAAGTTAGCAGGTCATTAATGTAGAGGAATGGGTTCAATCACACGATAATAAATGTTAGTGAGTTAGCAATAAAGGTTGTTCACAGTAATTTATCCAACAGGGATGGACGAGGATATTGGCATCGGTATCGGCTGATAAAGACTTTAAAATGAAATATCAGCATCAGCCCAGAAACAAATACATCTGGCATGTTTTACGTAAAGTAGTTCTCTTGCAGCGAATGTGCACTTTTTAAGGAATTGTAGTTTATGTCTGCAGCTCAGTATAGTAGGTATAATAATAAAGACACTTGATGTTTTAATGCAATTAGGTGGAAAAAATATGTGAAAACATCAGCATTGGTTAAAATGTGTAGGATAATATTGGGTGTTTGGAAATCAGGGGGAATATTCTGCAAAACTAGCATCAAGTGATTAACTAAAGAAGTGTCCTGCTGAAGGTGTAAACACCAGTTAAACCACAACCTGGCACCATAAATGTTGTTGTCGTCTTTATGGTTTATAACTGGTCTATAAAGCAGTAGTAAATTATTTATTAATGAACTGGTTATAAAAGAAACTGGTACCAAACTAAATATTAGAATTAAGCCAAAACTAACCACAAAGAGCCACAGTCATGGATGTTACTGGTTATCAGTCGACATTTAAATATGAAGCATCTGTAACAGAGCGTAAACTAAACTAAAGGACTTAGTCAGAAAGTACAATGAGGATTCTATTACCAGAGGAAAAAGTGCAAACACAGTGTAGAGAAGCATGTATAGAGAGCATATAATTTCCTAGCCCTCGACAATGCGTGCGTGGGGTTTTTGTGTGAATGCATATTCATGTACGTGTGTGCGTGTGTGTGCTGCCCGTTGACATGTCCCTCCCTCCCCTGACAGTTCTAATAGCCGGGAATGAGGCTTCATGCACTTCCTGAGGCCTCATTTGCATATGATTCGCTGATGAGCTGCCACCACTAACCAGCAACACCAAACCAAAGCCCTATTAATATTCTCCCATTCAGGTTGTAAAGCACACAAACCTAATCAGCTTAGAAATTACTGTATGGAAACCATAATTACGCATGTTTAATTGCTTATCATCTGATGGGTACAAGTTTATTAGAAATGTATTCATGGTAATTGCTTCCTGAGGTATCTGGTGAGCTACAATAGCATGTGATATCCTGTCAGCTCCCATTTGGGAGGATTAATGCGTTCTGAAAAAGTCACAAAATTAGATACTGTGTATTGCCTCTTTGGATGCTTGGTTTAACTCAAAGTGATTTTTAATTTAGGGATTTCTAAATTACTGCTTAAGCTCGGATAAGTCTTTGGAGTGAGATCCGTCAAAATCAGCATATCTCGGCGTTTGTTAAGGAGCGCTGGCATATCACAGGGATATAAATGGCTGTAAAGTAGGCAAACGACTGTGTAATCATGATGCCACCAGAAAATACTTGCAAACCTATCTGGCGAGAGACTAAATTTTCCACCACCAAACACCAAAAGCTGTAAAAATCAGGGGAAATGCAGCAGCCACACAAAAGTGAAAAGTCACAGGCATGAAATGAGGAAGCACGTCTTGTAAGAAAGAGTTTGGAAGTAAAGCCATCTCAAAGCCGATGAATCATTCAGTCCCGAAACAAGCAGATTAAAACACAGAGCGGCGCCCTCAGAGGGGCCTCCACGCCGCCAAGAACGTCGAGTGGGCCTTTTCAGATGGACCTCAGTGAGTCTTACAGCTCCTGCCCACTCTTTGATGATCTCTCTGTGCTTTATTGTAGTCACTGTTGGCTCTCAGTCCTTCTGACACAATTGTAAATTCATGTGGTATTATGAGGAAATCCAAGTCCAGCCAGCAGTTCCTCTTTGGATACCTCTCTCCTTACAACCAGGGGCATCTTTAGTGCCCATTTTTAGATATAACTGATATATGTGATATACAAATATGGCGTTGTGAATGAAAGTAGTTACACAAAAAGGACTACAAAATAAAGGAATGATGTTGAAGCAACTTTTTTCCATTTGCAGAAAATGGTTAAAAGCATTTTCTTTTCTTTATTTTTCTAACAGTGGATCTGCACAGGGGCTGCAAGGTGGAGCAGTTGGTAGTTTGCAGCAAGAAGGTCGTCGGTGAGGACACCCGGGATCTTTCTGTGTGGAGTTTGCATGTTCTTCCTGTGCAGCGTGGGTTCTCTCCGGGTTCTCCAGCTTCCTCCCACACAGTCCAAAAACATGTAGAGGTTAATTGGTGATTCTGAATTGTAGATGTGAATGTGAGTGTGCTTGGTTGTCTGTCTCTAAGTGTAGCCCTGTGATAGACTGGTGACCTGTCCTCTGCCTTCACCCTGAGTCAGCTGGGATAGACTCCAGCTCCCCTGCGACCCTAGTGAGGATTAAGGTGTAGAGATAA